AGAGAGAGAGAGAGAGAGAAGCCATTTTTGAGCCTTTAAAACTCCAAAAAAGCTTAAACAAACTGCAATTCTAAAAAAAAATTTTGAGATCAAAAAATTATACAAGATTGAGAAATCATCTCAAAAAAAAGATACGAGGTTGTATTCATCATGAACCACATAGAAGTTACAAGGGAAATTTTAGAGTGATTTAGTGGTTCATAGTCATCCAAAACTTCAAAGATTAGTTTTTTATCTTCGTATTTGAGATCTACCTTTTTTTGGAATGTCCACAGGTTCTAATAGGAGCACGGATCAATGAATCAAAATGTGGGTTTTGCTAGGTTAAAAATGATTAGAACAAAACTCGGTGCAATTTTCATAGTAAAGACACAAATGGCTGGATTAATAGATACAAGAAATACCTAGCCAAAATTGAAAGGGGATGTTGCCCCGTGTAAGAAGGTCACAAAAGAAGGAGAATCTTTCCCCATGTAACGGTTTTATAATTTCCGTAATTCTCACTACATTGTAATTTTGAACTTTAGCTCTTGCCATCTTGGAAATCGTATGGACTATGGGGTTCAAGTCTATGAACTCTGGAGTATGGACCTATTGTTGTGGTCATGTATTTGAGTATTTAGTCTTTATGGATATTTGAGTGTTTTATGGAATCAGGATATTTTTTTTTATCATCAATATCATAGCCTTTTCCCAATTATTTGGACTCGGCTACATGAATCCCGGACTGCCAGTCTGCTCTATTAAATGTCATACCTTCAATGAGGCTATAAGTCCTCGTATCTTTTCGGACTACTTCCAACCACATCTTTTTGGGGCGACCACTTGCCCTTTTTAATCCTTCCACTTGAACTTACTCGCACCTCCTAACAGGTGTTGTACTGGGTCAGCACCACACATGGCCAGCCCACTGAAGTCTACTCTCTCTCATCTTATTGCCGATTGGTGCCACACCTAAATTTTTCTTATATCTTCTTTTATAACAATTTTGAAATGTGATTCATTGATTTCAATATGTTTTTCAGCATTTAGAAGAATATAAATGTATACATACTTGGTTAGAACACATATAAATGCATAAATATGAAAAAATGGTACATATATTTAAACACGTGCGTTTAGGCCACATATATACTTATATGTCTGTCTGGGGCACCTCGAGAACACAACCATGCCATGCCTCATTACCTAAACCAAAATCCAGATAGGCGTAGATGGGGAAACCCAGGGCCAACAACAATTGCATCTGCTACCAAAACACAAAAAAATATTGTAGAACCTTATCATTGAAGCATCACCATGGACTGCATATAAGCTGAAGTTGTGGAAACAAGCACTATTCTCTCTTCAATACAGGATCTTTTCCAATTTTGCTTACCGATTGTAGTTCTCTTAATGTTACCATCAAGTTGCCTAAGGAAGTTAATTTTCCTTGAAATGTGGTAGACATATCGACTGTTACAGACATGCAAATAACAACAAAGAGGCAAATGAGGGGAACCAAAAAGCTAATGAAATTTTGCTAACTTAAGCCAATCTTCGATCGCTGACCCCTCCTGCAATTTTTGTCTATCATCCAACTTGGATCAACAAATTATACGATACAAAAAAAGTACTGCATTAAATAAAATAACAATTAAAACCAATAAAAACAGAAAAGACAAGGAGAGAGGATAAAATAACAATTAAAACCAATAAAAACAGAAAAGACAAGGAGAGAGGATAAAATAACAATTAAAACCAATAAAAACAGAAAAGACAAGGAGAGAGGATTATGGATGGTCCAAGAAGTGGAAAACAAGGATAAGCATCCACTTACTTGGGAAGCCTGGCGAAGAGAAGATTGCTTAGGATATCTAGCATGACCTGAAACTGGCGGGATGTCATTGTTGCTGTGATATTTGGAGAATTAAAAGCAAGCTCTTTCAAAGGTTTCATCTACAATTTGAAAAGACAACGAAAAGTAAAAAGATGAAGGTGATCAGTAATTATTTCTTTAAAAAAAAAACTGAAAGATTAGCCATGAATTACAATTCTGACATCAATGATATACAGAACACCATACTTGAAGTAGCAAGAATAAAAATCAAAGAATGCTACCTTCTCTACAAATATATATTTTCTTATGCAGAATTCAGCTTCACTCAGTTAAATAGAAGAGCATAATCTGGACATAAGAATAGCAACAGATCCACTTCATCTGTCAATGAGATTATGGCAAACTGAACAAAGTTTACAAGTGCAAATGCATCCTACCTTCAAGTCTGCTGTGCCACCTTTGTGTCTTGTGTAGCGGAAGTACATAGTACATGGCATAAACACTCTCTCAAGTAATGCACCAGTACGCTTCACTTTTGGGGAGCTCCTAGGAATTCTTGGTAGCCATTGCAAACCAGCTCCTGGATCAACATCAGTTGGTGCAACATGTGCTTGGACATGTTCCAACATAGCATTGAATTCCACACGTTTCCAAGTCATTTCAGGTTCAGACCCAGAAATGGGCACTCCACCAGTGCCAAGTGCTTGCTGAATCATCTCATAGCCAACATGAACAACTGAATGAAACGATCGGGCCAAGACACGGCCACTAGCTGCAGCAAGTAAAAATCTACCCTGGAGGGGTAATCAATATTTATTAGAGCAAAATCCTTGAAGTCCTTCTAGACAATATCATTTAACAGATAAGTTTTTGTACCCATCAACTACAAAAAAGAACTGTGAGTTTTAAGTAGACAACCAAAATGATATCATTTGAAACAATTGTTCCTCAAGTGCATAATAAATGCCACATAGGTAATAAAGGTCAGGGATAAAAGCGATCTCCAGACCCAAAAAAAATGCTACTTCACCATATGAAGACTTTTCTACAAGTATATGATGCTACATATACTTGATTTGCATTGACATCGAAAATCAATGTTACAATTTGCAATGCCCATTAAATCATTGTTTGGCATCAGTGTAGACAGCAGTTAACTCTAGCATAATAAAAATGATGCTAACGAAACATAGTACAAAGACCACTTTTAAAGCATGCCATTCCCAGGCAGCAAAAGACAGATCGAGGAAACAGCCAACAAGAGCAACGCGTAGCAGAATCCCCATGATCCAAAACCAGAATCAATGTAAAACTTCACATACATGTTTTATTTATCAACAGAAATGAGGTTCAGAACAAAAACAAGTAAAGCAGACCATATGTGCATGATTAAAACTCTTGATGGATTGATTGCAGCCACAAAGACTTCTACAAACTGATGATGCTATAATGATGAAGAAGAACATGCCCCGTGCTTAATGATAAAAAGTTAAAATATATACTCAGAAACACCAGCAGCATGTTTGAAATAGAGGAATTACTGCTTACATTAGCATCTTCAGAATGAAGATTGAACTGAGGTTGAATCACATTCACCATAAAATGCCTTGTCCCTTCCTCCTCACTGTCATCAATGCCTCCATGCTTAACTGACAACAGAACAACATACAAGCACTGTCTTAGAAAACATACATATAGCCGCTTAGCATCTCTAATGAAGAATAGAAGCAGCAAATTTAGAAGCAATCAATATTATTGGTGATATGATAATGATCATAAAAATCTTCTAAATGGTAAGTTAAATACAGTTGCTAAATGGTCACAGTGCTTGTGTGCAATGACTCACCAACAGCACCAGAAGACAAACCCTCCATTTTGACAGAAGGCAATGGAGACGACGTCAAACTGTCCCCATGTAGCGGTGAAGGTATGTTAGTATCATCGCACTTGGGAGTAGGAGAAGATTGAAAAGCTTCATCTGGAGGAGCATCTGCTTCATCAAAGGCCTGCTGCTTGGCCATTAGCTTCCGCTGCGCATATTGCCGAGATGGAGAGGGCTTCGGGGATTCAAATGCTTTTGATATTTCACCAACCCATGACCAAACAGCATCTCTATTCTCTAAAGTCCAAAGAAGCTTGAGGCCATAAACAAATACACGCTGACAATTGTCAGCAATGACCACGTTAAATCCATCATCATCACTTGGATCTGATCGAGTATGATCACTCTCACTGCCATTTTCAAACTCAGATCTAACATAAGTTGTCTCAAGATTTCGCCTTCCTGCTTCTTGCCATGCTAATAATCTGGTGGGATCTGCTTTTGGAGCCTGCCTTCTTATTGTAAAATAGTCAGAAGACAAGAGAAACCCATCCTGAGAATGCTTCTCACTGCAGGCTCCCAAATTGTGGCATTTTCCATTGCTAAGTCTGTCTGCAAATCCAGTTAGTTGACTTCTTTTTGTCTTTTGATTGTCTTGAGAAATGCATGCACAATGCCGTTTCTTTATTTCAGCTTTCAGCATGTGCAGATCAAGACCCTGGTAAACAAGATCTAAAGGATCACGCTTGCAATCAAAGGTATATCGCTGCCTACCACGACTATAGCCGAGTTCATATTTTAACTTCGTCATTCTGAAGGTCAAACCATGGGCAGGATCATCATCCACTAGAGGAACATGTTTGATGCAAGTTGGCGTTGCATCAACACGCAGCATGCACTCTGTCATCACTTTGTCCAGCGACAAATTACCTGATCTAGCTACTCGAGGTATTCCAAAACGTGGCCATCTAGAGAAAGAGCGTAACTTATGAGGAGGATTATAATTCATATTCCACCACCTGAATATCCATATTAAATCATGGGCACCCAAATTCATGATAGGGGAATCGGCTGAATTATTCTCTGATTTTTGCAAGGGATCTGAATCCAACATACCAAATAGTTGAGCTTGTTCACCAAATGGATAACCAGAAGGCCTAAGCAAAAAATTCCAACGAAGGGAGAGGGAAGTCGATCGGAAAGGATCATAAACTTTCTTGCGTGGTTGACGTTCATTTGGGAAAGCATGTAAGTAGTGATTAAGGGGACTACCAGATTCACATGCCCAGTCCATTGTGACTTCAAGAGTGAAGGTAGGGGACTGCAGGAAAGCTCCAAAAACATCAGCTGGCAGTTTTATACTATAATTGTTTATTAGACGCTCCAAACTGCTTAGAAAAATCCTAAAGTCCTTGGCATTAAGAAGAATGCGACCATCTGACTGCTGAATATCTGTGTAGCCCGAAACAATGTGGAGCTTCTCAATCTTTTCGTAAGGATCAGTCGTTGCAAGAATATTCCATTTTAACTCAGAGCAGGATAAATTATTTTTTCCATGAATGTAGTAACGCATATCATCCCACCAAGGCAAGCTACGTTCCTTCTTAGGAGGCTGATTTTCGGAAGTATTGACATTGACTGGAGCATTTTGGGCTTGGGAAGTCAGATCAAAATTCCTAGTACTTAAATTAGCCTTGCGAAGGGCTACCGTAAAGGCATAGCTTACATCAGCAAAAGCCGGTTCAAAACCCACTCCAAAAGACACTTCTGCTTTCTCAAAATATAGAGGCAATTCCGAGTACATTTTCATAGGTGGTGTTGTACCACTAGCTGACCGCAACATGGCCACCCTCCTCCACTTTCCAATGAAAACATCTTGTAGAATTTGTGGTTGGAAACATGTAGCCTACAATATGTATAGGTGAACTTATAAAATTAGCCTCACCATGCACCAATATAGCAACAGAGGAAGACTGGATTTCACAGTACTGGCAAACAAATGTGGCATAGTAAACATGTATTTACACATAAGCATCCATGTATACATTGCACGTACAAATATAAAAAGACCTTACTACTGAATAAGATTTGAAGAATTTGTAACGGTTCCCCTGAAGCAACATTCTTCAATCCAAAAAAGTAAAAATCAGCAAGAATTTCAAAGCATCATTTTCATTGTTTTGTGTGTTCATGTTTCCTCCGCTTAACTCTTGGTTTCCATAATCATTTTCAAGATGCAACAAAGTTCTGTCCAAAGATGTTATGCCAAAATAATGTGTGATTCAATTCAAGGAAAACAAGATACTAATCTAAGGGGTTATTCTAAAGGCGACAAATTAAATAAATTTAGATTCTGTTGAAAAATCAGAACATATTTCAAGGTTCAATATTTAGATGAAATTAATAACCCCTTCGTTGTGTATTAGAAATTCCAAAGAAAGACCGGTATGAAGAGCAATAAAGCAAAAAATAAATATGGTAAATAAGCAAATAAGTCACAAAACTACTACACTCCTGGCAACTAAGTTTTACATTCTTCAAACCACAAACACAACCAACAGTGATAATGATAACTATGGGATCAAGGAAGAACTGGTTAGCTATTTTTCAAACATCACGTTGAGTCTTATAAAACCCAATCATTCTAGGGTTGACACATATCATTAAAGTACCTTTTGCAAACTCCCCACACGCCCTTAGGGATAGTTTTAGAAATATATAGGTATTTCTTTGTTCTTATTACCCCAAAACCACATGAGTGAATATTAATTTTGACAATAAATGAAGCATGATATCATCATTCTCGAGAAAATTCAGAAAAGCATGTGTTTCCTTGAGTCATACAAAAGAGAAACTAGGCGTTCTCTCTTTGACAGGCTCCACCTTTTGTTGTATTTTAAGAATTTAAAAGCCATTGAGATATGGCTGTTTTACCAATTTCACAATGAAAAAAATTATTTTGTTCCTGTTAGAGTGCAACTTCTGTAGCTAACTAATTGGGGTCACTGCATGAATCCTGGTCCACCATTTTGCTCTATTAAGGGTTACACACTTAGTGATGCCATAAGTCCCCATATTTTTCTCATTACTTCCAATCATGCCCTTTTAAGCCTACCCCTTGCCCATTTTGAGTCTTCCACTTGAACTAACCTACACCTCTTAACAGGTGTTGTACTAGGTCTGCACTACACAAGGCCAACCCACCTAAGTCTACTTTCGCTCATCTTATCGTCTATTGGTGTCACACCTAATTCTCCCGTATGTATTGATTTAAACTGACAACCATTATATAAAATTTGCAAGCAAAAGGAGCACGAATTCTACGTGAATAAAAACACCATACAAACCTGTTGTGCAAAGACTATGCCACCTTCACATTTTCCGGCAGCTGTAGATAGTAATGGATATGTAAAATTTCTCAATTGAAGGACAAGTGAACCAGTGTGTACAACAATGTGCCTTCCAAGCAACCGGGAGAATGGGACATTGGTCTCCATGGCAGCAGGGTCAAGAGTCTTAATCAAATCAATCATCCCATCATGACCGCCTTCAATTGCAGTCAAGGTTACATCCAACTCGGTAACAGAAAGAGACAAAAGAGAAGTTCTTGCAGTACTTCGCTTGAAACCAGCCTGAAAACCTCTTTTACAGGCACCGGATCCATCTGATTTCACTAATTTTTGGCATGCCTGATAGTACGACTGAAATGCCTGCTTTTGGATTTCCTCTCGCAAATTTTTGACTGATGAACCATTACAAGGATCTATTTCAGATCCTATGGCCTGCTTCTGTTCATTTGGCTCATGATTTCCACCACATTTCAATCCTTCAGAAACAATTTCATCAAGAAACTTCAATCGAACATCTTGTTCACAAATTTGAGTTTTCATCATCTGATAATGTTCATCAAGCCATCCCTGAATTGGTTCTTCCTCAATCTCAGCAGTAATCTTGCGTATGCCAAACTTAACAGACCCAAATTTTGTTGATTGATTCTTTGAAGGCTTTGCACCCTCTTTCTTCATGGGAAATAACAATGACCTTCTAGCAGACATGATAAGCTTCAAGCCCCTCCACATGTCCTCAACTGCATCTTCAATTGCACGTAACTGCAACCTATAAGGCATACAAATATGGACATCAAATCCTTGAATAACACAGTCCCAAGTGGTGATTGGATGTACTTTGGCATCAAATGAACTACTCATAGTGGGTATGGTAGGAATTCGTGAAATTTGCATACGGCTGCTTTTGAATACCCTGGCCTCATTAAGACTTAGTGTAAGACCTTCAAGGAGTATCCCAATTCTGGCATTCTCAGAAAATATTGATTGTACTTGGACAAATGCTTCCACACCATCAGCAAGATCAGCAGATAAACTCAACATTTCTACATCAATAGCAAATACAAGCTCCTTCTTCTTATGATGCTTATCAGATTCTAAGAGGTCAACATGTGCTTCTTTTTCAGATGCTCCATCTAATCTCACAAAGAAATCGTTTTGCAACCTGCGAATTTCATCCCGATTCCGACACTTCTGACACAGAAAGGATGACTTCAGCCGCAAACCAAACTCATAAAATGAGAGATGAACATCAGGCTCCCACCTGACGGAAATATCAGTTGCACTGAAGAGAGAGCACACAGCAACCTCATTAGCACCACCAGAGCGACGAACAAATTTTGCATTCTGCATATCCAACAGGGTAACTTTTGAATCAACCTTACTTTCTTCAGAGAGTTCCTCATAAACAGATCTTGCCCTTTCTAGCTCCATCTGTGTAAATTGCTTTTCCTTATTAATGCATAGCGCAAAATGAAAAATATCAAGTGACACAGTGAATTTCAGTTCTTTCCTCTCTCCAGATGTCATGCATGAAATTTTTGCACTGCGTGGTGTACCATCAGCACTTCCACTGATAACCACCACACCCCCCTGTGACCCAAAGTTAACCCGCTTGGGATCTGCAACCACGGCATTCTCCATACTTACTTCACCACAAAGATTCACAGAACATCTTTCAAGGTTAAGCTTTATAATAAGACCTCCTTTTGATGGTTTTTTGTTTGAAAGATGCATACTCTTTTGGCTTGACTTTTTACCGAGATTGGACAGACACTTTGAAAATTCTTGAATGAAAAGTGTAGTCGATATTATTGACTCAAGACGCTGGTATGTGAAGTATAAACCCATTCCAGTTATGTCAATGACAAACATTGGCTTCCAGCAAGTTAGAGAATTTTCTTCATCTGACAATTCCACTTCTTTGTGCCCCCAATCAAGACTCACCCGTGCTATATGCATCAAGGATCCAGTGTTTGTTTCCACACCAAAAAGGCTTTCCTTTAAACATTCATGGTATTCATTTGCTATGTGGAGATGCAATTCTCCAAGTTCCATATGAACTGCAATCTTCGTACTTGTTATATTGTTTGCAAACAAATGTGAAGATTGTGAGCACCCCTACATCACAAAAGAATCATTTAACTCAGTGTCAATTATGGTGTATATAAATGTTCATCAAAAAAAGAAACAGATGATCGCTTTGATATCTTCCCAGGTCCTCTCATGCAATTAGTATTTTCAATTGTGAGTGGATATAATTTAACTTTCCAATCGAAGTACTGCAGGAGCAGTCCCAAAAGTCAAGAAGAAATCAAAACAAAAAAACCACCTCATAAATCACAAAGAGACATAAGACTACCTTGGCAACCATATTAACCATCGAGTCATTCAAATTAGAGTACCAAAGCAGTAGATTGGCACGAATTCTGCAAATCTAGCCATGACAAGGGCAATTTCCATTCCACATTTTCCCAACAGAACTTGCATTACTATATTAAACAGAGAGATTTTTTAAGCAAATATTTTCAGAGAAAGATACTGATCATAGAAGAAACAGAAACTGCAAAAGAAAATTACCACGTCCTTATAATCCAAGTGTTCAATTTCCAACAACAAATACTTTCTTGTTTTAAAGAACAATAATGAACAGAATTTAGAATAGTCCAGGTATTTACATAAATTACTCTGCAAGGATGGAGATGACCAAGAGGACATCTCTTATCTTCAGCAATAAACAATGGAGAACCAAATTACTTTCAATGCCAAATACACAGAGTAGCGCAATTGGCACTGTACATTATGACCAAAATAGTTTCCCTCTCTCTCTCTCT